CAAAAAAGCAGTGAATAAAAAATTAACAAAAATATGAAACAGAAAAGATTAAAAAATTAGTGTTAAGTTATTTTTAAGTTATTGTTACATTACGTTATGTAAGTTAAGTTTTAGTATCATTTCCCTTCTCCCTCTCCTCCTCCACCAGTTTACACCTCCACCAAATTTTCCTCAAAGGTAAAGTGCAAATAAAACTACATTTTTTTAATCAATTATTATTCTATTATGGTTATTTATACATTTACAACTACAAAATGCATTTTTCAGTGTTTTCCTTACTAAAGTTTTTTTTTTCAATGTACTACTTAGCTTTAATTTGAGAGTGTTTTTCATGTTGGAATGAATTATTTGGTTTTACATGTAATTGTATGGGGAAAAATGATTCACCTTACGACATTTTCATGATACGATCTGAGTTTCGGAACGGATTAATTTCGTATCCTGAGGTATCACTGTAGTTAAACACATTCCTGAATTTTAGTGCACTTTTATTTCTACAGTATGCCTAATACAATAAGACCCCACTTAACGCGAGGGATGCATTCCTAGATGACAAAGCGCTAAACGTAACAGTGTTAAACAAGGTCATTTTAACATAGGGTAAATAGGGATAGGGAAACATGCAACTGAAAATGAAAAAAATTTACTTTAATTTTTAGTTATATTAATTTGTATAAAAGTATAATGTGTGTATATATATATAATAATATATGTTAAATAACACACAAACATATATTAATTATAGAATACATTTCTGTGTGTATATTAATTAGTTTATTTTTTCTATATTAATAGTTCAATTTTTGTGACAAAGGTCCTGAGTTTTCTGAAATTCTTGTTTTTTTGCAATAAAGTCCTGAAGTTTCATTTGTTGCTTTTTTCTTTTGTCTTTCCTTAAGCAAATGTTGGTAGCGGAAGATCGCATCCAAAACGCCCCATTTTGCTTTTGCTCTCCTTTCAAAATCTAGATCATTCACTATAATTTGATCAACGATTTCAGTTATCATTACCAAACTTTTACTAAAGAAATCGGTAGAGAAATTTTTTGGGTTCTTCATTTTCAGAATCTCTATTTTCCAGTTGTACACGTATTCCTTGTTTTGCTAGTTCTTGAAGGTTGTCATTGATAAGACTCTCACCAGAAACCTGCGGTAACTCCTCAATATCCTGTCCGTCTACATCTCCTAGTCCTGCTGTATCGATTAGGTTGAATTTGATCAACCTAACGATACAGCAATAGGCTCTTCTTGTTGAGAATTCTTGGATACCTTCAGCCATAACTTCTTCCAAACTTCGTTCATGCATTTATCAGTTAATTCTTGCCACGCAAAGCTGATATTGACTATGGCATCCATGATGCTATATTTTTTCCAAAATTGCACCAAGCAAACATAGAATTAAAGAAAGTACACCTTTTTGTCCCCTTTTTCTGATTGATTCATGTTCGTAAATAATCATATTACAGTAGAGCCTCGATTATCCGACCCCCTATCAACCGACCCCTCGGTTAACCGACCGTCCTAGTCGGCAAATTTCAAATGTCCGCTATTGATGTAGCGCTACAATATTTGGCTATGTTTTGGCTACTTTATTATTATTTTTACGTGTTTTAGCTGGCAACACTCATTCGACCATGAAAGGGAGCCAGTATTTAAACGAGGCTTAATTTTCTAATTTTTAACGATACAATAGCGACGATTATTATTTTAAAAAATTTTTGTTAGGCTTAACATCGATGAAAATTCAACGCAAAGTAGGTTAATAGCGATATACTAATATACTAATTACATGGGATATAATAATATACTACACTAATAATAGATTTTTTCATACTTTTCGGTTATCCGCCCTTTCAATTATCCGACCAACCCCAGTCCCCAATTAGGTCGGATAATCGAGGCTCTACTGTATATACAAATCAATAAAATGCTACACTAATTTAAATCAATGTAAATTTTGAGCTTTTTTTAAGGTTTTGAGCAGACAGTGTTATATGAAATAAATTTTAAACAAGGCAGCATTAAGCGAGGACTTACTGTACTTTTTCCAAAACAATAACAATAAAAAATTTCTCAAGATAATATTTGAAAAGAAAAATAAAATAATGATCTAAATGTTCTCCATTTGCACAATTCCCCCCCATGCTTTATCATAACATATATGTGTAATTACTATAATGAAACAAAAAGAAAACAAGTCTTACACTTAAAAGTATATACAGTAGACCCCCCTATAACACGGGTTCCTATAGTTCGGATTCCTATATCACGGCAAAAAAATTGCGACAGTATTCGTACAAACATGCTAAAAAATCTCCTATAATTCGGTAAAACGTCATTGCCGACTCGTATCGCAACAGGATTGCACAAACCATTGAGTTTAAATGAGCAGCGGACCTACTAAAAACCATTTATTATTTAACGTCCATAAAAATTATATTTATATTAATGATGTCTCTAAAGGTCAGTGAATTTTTCGCAAAAAAAATAATTTATCAGGAAGCACGTGAGCGCCATTCGATGACAATCTCCATGACGAAACAAGCTTAAGCAATGGCGTAGTCGAACGGTGCACACTCGGTAAGTAATCCTACAATTTTTTGTTTATAGCATAGTTTATATGGATTATTCCCAAAAAATTATATGTTTTGGAAATGTTGAGTCAAATTAATCTAGAATCGTTTAATTTTATGGAAGAAACCTTTCAAACAGCCATAGTCCGTAAACTGCATACGTGCCGGGCTGTGATTGACTGGACTCATAAAAGCTGGATTCATAAAACTCAAAATGTATCTACCGTGTTATGGGGGGGTCGACTGTACTTATTTGACATAATGATTTCTCTCAAGATAGACAAAAGTTTAAAATAAATGCTATAAATAGATTTTTTGTAAGCTACTGATTTCATTTTTTTATAATAATGTTTTCTAATAATATGTCTTTTATTCTCATCAAAGTGATATTGTCAAACTAAAATTTTGATCTTAATGATGTCTTTCTTATTTCATAAAATTTATTGATCTTTACTTTAAATTCTGATTTAAATGAATTTCCTATATCTATTTATAATTAATGTTCTTAGTACTTACTACTTGATCATCTGTAATTTTTACAACTAATTTTCCGTCACAATGGCGATATTTCATAATAAAACGTACCTGTAATAAATAAAATTAAAGTACTATTAATAAATTAAAGAATTCTATATAAAATGTATTATACTAAATTTGAAAATAAGCCACTTTATCTGAAGACATGATATAATCCATAAGAAGAGTTCCACAGCCTTAGCTACATATGCTTCAGGCAACAAGTTTATAGAGAAATTGGATTAAGCATATATGATAAGGTCTGCTGTCTGTAGAGAATGGCTAAGAGAATTATAAGATAATTAGAAGCCCTCAAGATCTTTAAAGTGAACAATAACAGTTGCTACATCAATTTTAAAGAAGAAAAATGCATATCTAATTCCTGGCAAACACATTATAATTTAACTTTATTATTAATTACATCATCTGTTTATCGTCAATGAATTGATACATTTGAATTTGAATTATACCTTGTTCTTTGGACTGTTCCTTGTTTGAATCAAATAGTTCCTGATGAAGATCATATTTATAGACATATGATCATCAGGAAATGTTAGTTTTCTAGTGAATTAATTAGAATTAACAACAGCTGGATGGATCAATGTATTGTAGAAATGTCTTCCAGTTATTTAGTTAGTACATATTGATATTGCAAAATAAAACATTTTTAATTTTGAGATTAAATTGCATAAATTTCTTTTCTGCAATTTTATAAGTCCTTATAACAATTCAGTGCTTTCCAAATGAATGACACACAAAACAAGAAATATTCAAAAATAATAATTTAAAAAAAAAGAAAGAAAAAAAACACACAATACATGACATCAGATGAGTAGGGAGAAACTGGTTATACAGGGACTAATCCTTCCTCTTTTTACTTATTCACTGTATCATATGACAATCAGTTTACATGATATACACATGGTGAAGAATTTTACACCTTTTAGTTGTTTAATTCATTTTAAGGTTCTGGCATAGTAAACACTAGTATTGTGTTGTATTCCAAAGACACATGGCAAGTTTTCCATCAAATATCTTTATTAGTTGAGTCAATACGGTACATTGTTTTGTACTCATTTTGGGCTTTGACTCTCTTCAGTCAACTATAATACAATATAGGTATACCTCGCCTTATGTCAGTAATTGGTTCCAGGAGAGGTGACGTAAGTCAAATTTACTTGTCTCCGAATCTACTTGTCACTAGGCTAAACCATAAATTATCATTCCTGATTCTGTATTTTATTTATTAATGCATTTTTAATAATATATGGTTAATAAGGATGTATTTTAAGCTTACAAACAAATAAATTTTAGTTTTTAATATACAGAAAAAAGTAATCTAAATTTACGAATGTATGTACTGTAAATACAGTATATACTTGTAAATGTATATATTTTAATATGATTTCGTGTGCTTTAAACGTTTTTCTAGTGATATTACAACTTCAATATTTGTGGTGGACAAACGTAAAGTCAAATAAAATGACTTAAACTTGATTTTTATTTTTCCATATAGTTTTTTGACAAACGACGTATAATCGGGAATGACGTNATTTTAATATGATTTCGTGTGCTTTAAATGTTTTTCTAGTGATATTACAACTTCAATATTTGTGGTGGACAGACGTAAAGTCAAATAAAATGACTTAAACTTGATTTTTATTTTTCCATATACTTTTTTGACAAATGACTTATAATCAGGAACAACATAACCCGAAACGATGTAAGTCAAGGTATACCTGTATATACTTTTTATCTATTACAGTAGAGAACTTACATAAAAAACAATGAGTACACAAACGATATACACGTACTGTACCTTTGGTTACACTTTGTATAATTTAAAATCTTGTAAAATCTGCTTTAATCCTTTTACGGATAAACCAGTATACATTATAATTTAAAAACTTTCATAAACCTTCCCTTTCTTTGACACAATACGATTAAAAATTTTGAGTTGTTTCCGCCCCTTTTCACCCCTTCCTTTTTTGGCATTTGTGCTGGTATCTTTAGTGTTGCCACGTATGAAGTGTGCCACCTTGTGGTCTTATTTTTACCAAATCTTGCAGAAATTATTTTTTAAAAGATTGCTTTTTACAGAGAAATTTTTTATTTATAGTATATTGAGCCAGTTTTCGTTTATTTTAAGACTTAGTAAAGACAATATAAATGAAAGCCTTTTTATAATTTGTATGTTAATTTTTCTTTATGCAGTATTTCTATGTTATCTTTGTCTATATTACAGTTGTTTAGAGTACAATGTTCGTAAAATGCAGAATTTATTCTATTGTATTTTAGGTCTGCTATGTGTTCTTTCAATGTAATTTTTACTTTTCTTTTTGTTTCTCCTATGTAATGTTTTTTGTTTGTGCAGTTACATAGAATTTTATATACTACACCTTGGGCTTCGGTCGGTATTTGCTGGTTTTTCTTCTGGTTCGAGGTTAGCAGTCTGTTCTCCATTTTTTGATGATATGATAGTGCTAATTTGTAGTTGATTCTTTCTATTTCTGTGCTGATTTGTTCGTGAACAAATAAATGGGAAATCAGACTTAATGACCCAAGAAACCGATGTAAAAATAAAAATAAACAAGCGACTAAAACAAAATATATTAAGTTCCCTTATATTAAAGGCCCATACGAACAAATCTTGTGTTGGGAAGTTCGAAATGAGAAATTGAATTTTGACAAACGAAAACCCATTTACCTGTCCTGTGTTTTTCCCGACATATCTCTAGTCGTGACATGCTGACCTTGACCAGTTGACCCAAGATATCTCATTTCAGCATAAGAACCTTTTTTTCAAAGTAGATGGCGCTAGTTGTTATAATTTTATATTAAAACTAACTTCCAAACTATATATAATTTGTTTTTTTTTTCTGTACTTATATATAATTGAAAATTATAAAATAAAAATTTCCCATTTTTGAAAAAAAAATAATCCTGGCTATATATATAGTTTGTGCAAAATAAAAAAATAATTTTGAACGATAAAATAGCCAGGATTATTTTTTTCAAAAATGGGAAATTTTCGTTAGGTATCAACAAAAATTCAATCCAGGGTAACATGCAATGTTGAGAAATTTTGAAATTGGATAGGTTAATTTCACCGAAAATGCATTGTGGACAACCTCATGGTAGTGGCCGACAGAGTTTGAAAGATTGCACTCAAAACCAGTGATACCAAAGAAGATTGGAGAATGAGAATTGAGCATCAAAGTGATTCAGCTTAGTAGTGAGTCTTGGAGACATAGTCTTGTCCCAAATACAGCCTTGCCATTTTACTTGTTTTTCTTACAATTATTTCCACTATAATAGACAAATACAAAAATAATGTACCATATGTAATGGATGTTTTTAATTGAAGGTGTCAGTTAAAATACCTTCATGCTTTTGTGCATTAAAAGCTCTAGTTATCTGCATCACTACAGATGCATATATGCTCTTGCACCAAAGTTTGGAATTGACCAACATTATATGCTACTCATCCTTTTTTTTACCTTTGAAGATTGTATATAAAAGGGTTTCCATGGGTAGTCTTGAGTGACTTACCATCTGAACTCATAGTTCATATTTTGGAATGTGTAGTTATTTCTACATTCAGTGACTAAATCCTATTATATAGAGGATACATTGATGACAGTGCATGGCACAGAAAGATGAATTGCATGGCAGAAACCCATATGAATAAAAATTTAGTGTTGACCAAGAAAGTGATCTTAAGGTCTATTTTCTGGATATTGCAATCACTTAACTGGAGATGAAATAAATACAAATATATAAAGAATATTGAATATTCTGCCAGTATTCAACCCTCTGTATATTCCTATCAACTCTTGCAACCAGAATGGCAATAAAATTTCAGCATTCCAAGCATTTATTAAACATACATTCTCCCTTTGTTCATCTGTTTTTGACAGGTTGAAAAAGCTTGAATATATTAAATCTATAGCTAATAAGCATGGATACTTGGCCAGAATGATTGACATTCTTGTTAGTAGGTATTCATCACCTGAGTATAAGTCCATTAAAACCTTTGAGAATTACTGTTAGGATTACAATAAATAGGCAACACTTATCAGCAAGTCACTGAAGAGAAAATGATTCAACTAGTAATTTTATTGCGGAAATCCAACTGTCTTCATATTGTTAAGAAATAATAAAAAACAAAGTACAGAGAAGGAAGAGTTCTGGTAAGCTGGTAAACAGTTGTTTACCAGCTTACTAGAACTCACAGGGTTATGAGGTGACTAAGCCCTTCAACTTAGCAGTTTCCTTATGCAGTATATATATATAATATGCATTTGCTTCCGTCCCATAAACTTTGAAAACTGTTATCTTTTTACACTGGGCTATAGCTACTAGGCCTAGTGCTGAATGGAAAAAAAAGAAAAATACCAGTCACAATTTGTCCAGCTTGTCCCTTAGTTACCCAATGATTTATTCCTGGCCACACAACTGGTGTTTAAATGATTCCAGTGTTAGACAGCAGATTTAATATAGCTACACAGTCAACTGGATGACAGCAAGTGGGCAATGGATATCTAGGCAACAAAACAATAGATCAAAATAGACAAAATAAGAAATTTTCATTGTTTTCTTTATTAAAATCACCACTTTTTCCTATTGACCTATTACCCACTACACTTAAATAATATTTTATTTAAAATACAAAAGAAAAAGTCTAAGACTAAAGATTTTCACTCCCCATGAAACAATAAAAAAAATGAAAATCATAAAAAAACATTAAAACAGTAAACAATCCCATGAATGAAATTAAATAATCTAAAAGTTATAAAGCATGCATTTACAAGTACTTTTAAATCATGTAAAATTTTTAATGTATATATTCAATTTTCACGATGACTCAGGATATCTTCTATATTGAAGTTAAGACCATTTACAAAAATTCACAATATTTTCAAGTCTTTTCTTTATCCTTTAACACAACCACAGAACAGTAACAGTAAAAATTCACAAAGTTAAAAACAATAATCTATTAATATATGTCTTTTTAATGAAGCTTTTCTTCAATTCGATTTTACTGTTACTTCTGTAGTTGTGTTAAAGGATAAAGAAAAGACTTGAAAATATTGTATATTTTTGTAAATGGTCTTAACTTCAGTATATATTCAACATTATTCATATTTTGTGAAATATACTAAAAATAAGATCTATTCAAAACAGAATCAATCTAAAAATTAGGAAGAGGGTGTAAAAATATATGACAGATTATGTAAATTCCACTGGGGTATTTTTTAGGTGAAGCCAATCAAACTGTACATAACCATTAAAATATTTATGGTATAACAGTTGATCAAAGTATTTAATGCATTCTTTAAAAGAATGAATACCCAGTCTAGACCTGGCGACACTCAAATGATAGGTAACAGGAATAATTTTTTTTTGAGAAAGGAGTTAAAAAATTCAGCTAGTATGGCTGAAAATGGAGAGCCCATTGATACTCCCTGTCTTTGAAGGTAAATTTAGGAGTTAAAAAACAATCTAAACATAAAATTTGAAAAATTTTGTTTATAATTACATTTATTTTTATTCTGAAGAATTAAAAATTGTATAGAAGTTATATTGAAATTTCTTATGCAAAAAATGTCAGCTAGTTAATAAAAATTTTCATTTATATCATATTTTAAAATTTGTAGAATCATTTAAGAAAGACACAGTTAAAAAGGCAATTCTGAAAATAATTTAAAAATAAAAAAATATAATTGCACAATATTAAAATAAAGAAAAAATATAGTTTAAAATTCATTTGTTATTATTATTTTATAATTAACAAATTACATACACTAATACAAAAAAAGTATATAGAATTCAAAACAACATTTTTATTTTAAATTTATTACTTCATATTATATGCAATACTATGTAAATACTCTTATCATATTTTCCCTATTGTAATTTAAAACTTTTCTCAAAATTCTTTTTTAGTTTCAGCTTCATTGTAACATTATGTTCATGCTGAAAATCTGCATAACATTGCTCTTTCATAAGTAAAATCAATGTTTTTTGAAATTTTCATAGTCCATTTATTAAAAAAATTCATAAATTTGGATGACATGATTTATATTTATTTTATCAATATCACAAAAAAAAATCTTCCAAATTGTATGACAAACTTAATTTTTTGCAAAGCATGCAAACACTTTTAATTTTCTATCACCCAAACGATGATTGTCCAATTAACCGTAGTAAGTTGACTATCACAGCTGTTGTGTACCCCTTCAAAGTATCTGGGTTCAAGCAATTTCACACAACAACTGACTAAACCGCTGGACAGATTCTGAGTTGTGTTGCCATGACAATAGCAGTAGGTTGACCAACTAGTAGTTTCAGTTGGATAAATTTAAAAAGCAAAATATTAGTAAACAGTTGGTAAACTACAGCCAATCAGTCTTTAGATTTATGAAAACTTACATAATGAGAAAAGATGGCAAAAAATAGACTTTCCAGAAGAATCGATAATCAAAGTATGAAAACTTCCATGAATTCATGATGTTAGTTGATTGGATTACAAAGATATTTTTAAAAAATTAAAAAATTTACACTGATTGGCTGGTGTTTCAATTTATAATTCTCATTCTGATTGTTCATAATGAATTTGTCACTAAAATAATCATATTCAATGCAAATGATTTTGCTTCTAGTTGGTCTGGCCTATGTGTGAAATTGTCAGTGTGAAATTGCCCTTACACATCTAGACATCTTAATTACTATCTAAAGACTAATACAAATAGAAAACTTTTAAGTATGTCATATGGCATTATCACATTTACAATACTGTCAATTGGGTAAGACTAAAGGCTGTTATACACATTACGGAAATCCTTTGAGGATTAACCGTGATTTTTTTTTCTATTTATTCACCTTTAAATAAAAATAATTCTTTATACGTTGGGAAATATTTTAATAAATTTTGTAAATTACTATGTTCGATCCAGCCAGTTATATCCAATTTTTTTTCGTCTGTTAAGTACATCCTTTGAGGATTTCCGTAACGTGTATAACAGCCTTAAGACAGTCAAACAAGTTAAGGACAAAAAGTTAGCCATTTTTACAGATTCTAGATATACAAAAAGCAGCAAAAAGAAATGCAGCATCTATTTCCTAATGTATAAAAACTCTCTTTGAAATGCTAATAGTTTGGTATACAGTATTCATATTAATATTGTTATATTTCATTCTTATGTCTATTATTTTGGTATTTATTTTTCATTTTTTATCAATTATATTTATCTTTTTAAGAATTATTCAGTAATTGCAAATTCATGCTTATTTTTAAATCCAATTAAACATCCTCACGTGAGGTCTGTACCATATGTTTAAACTTGAAGATGAGTTGTTATTCTTGTTTGTTAAAAATTTTATTGTTGGATAAAGGTGTTTTGTTTTTTTACATTACCATAAAAATGTTTCATAATATTTTCATTAATTCAGTTCTTGGTGGAAATTACTTTATTTGAAAACAGTGATTAAGAAATTACTTTATATAAAATTTAAATTGCATAATCTTAAAACATCAATTAAAAGAAATATATTATTAAAGAATTATAATTAGCAAAAATGACTCACTCTCATTGGATCTGCCAAGTAAAGTCTTTCGGCAGCTTTAGCAAAATCTTCCCACGAAGTTAAATAAGTCATACTTAAAAAAATGATTTATATTAATTAAATATTTTTTAAACTTATCTCCATGCGAACCTCCTCGACTCGTTTACCGAACGAAACGTCGAAGTCACATTTCATTTACTCTCACACTCAAATCAATGTAAATGTCAAATAATACTAAAGTTAACTTTACGTCGATTAAGATAAATAAAGAGAATTTTAATTAACGAATTTAAATAATAAAATTAACTGTAAATTGTTCATTTTATAAACATTAGAGGAGGCGTTCGTTTACTCTCGTCGTCATCCGCTCTCATTTCGCTACTCGGAACACGGTCCGTCCATTGCAGACGGAAATAAGCACGAAATGATTCTGGATCGGTAGAGTGTTGTCTACTCAGTTTGATGAATGTAAATGATATTAGAAAGACAACGACCGGAGACATGAGGCAAGTTATCTTTCATCTTTCGAATCTGTATCGGTTAAAACTCTATATTATGCATAAAAAGAAAATATTGATCGATTTCACTAGCGAGGTTGCAGCCGAAGTTTTCATCTGTAAAACGTGAACGTTGAACATCGAGATAAGCGGCGCTCGACGTACGACGTTCACGTTTTACAGATGAAAACTTCGGCCGCAACTTCGATATTATCTAATACAAAATAGTTATAAGAGTTCAGAAATCAAAATAACTTTAGATTAAAGAAATAATAATCTTTCCAGTTTGCTGTAAGTTCAATATTTTGATCTATTTAATCTGTTCAAAGATGTTTGTTTAAAGAATATTTGCTATTTTAAGAATTTAATATACATATTACCTGTATATAATCTGCTAGCACACATTAATTGATATAAAATAATTTATTTTGTATAAATTATAAATGTATATTATATAAATTTGAAAATTTAATGAGAATTTTTCTTATTTAATATTTAATTAGTCTGGAAAAATATTTAATTTTATTAGTATGTTAATTATATTGGTTAATATTTAATTCGGTTCGGTTTATTTTGTTTTTGGGTCGCGACCTGTTTCGAGAGACATTATAAATTACAAAACAAAATTAACTTTTATTGTTAACGGTAATGATGATTTGCTTATTTTAGCATTTAATACGTTTGATCTTATATGTTCATTTTTCAAGTTTTTTAAAAAAAGATTTTAATTTATGTAATAGATTGACAATTTGTATTCTTATTCATTAATTGTGAATATCTCATTCATCTGAATGAGATATTCATGATTAAAGTGTACAAAGTACTGAATGGCACATTTTGGGTACAGAAATCCTTAGACTAATTTTTTTTAGCTATTTAAAAAATTTTTATGAAACAAAATAAATTGCATAATTTATTAATTTTAATATATGTTAGCAAATTAATTTTAATAATGTCAGAATACTGTTGTTGAATTTGTATCTAATTCAATAAATTCACATAAAATGTGAATATATGCATTTCCTTTTATCTTTCACATTATGCTTAGTTCACTGATTTATGTGAATACATTTTTGTCAACTCTATATAACTGTATAAATTTTAAAAACAATATTTAGCATGAATCAAAGATACAATAAAGAAAAGACTAAAAAATGCATGTATTTGTACAAATTATTTGATGTCAATAAATTGTGAATCAATTTCCAGTTATATCAGCATAAATTAGAATGGTATAACTACATACAGTGAATTGTTTGTTAAACAGCTGAGCAGGTAGTATGAATAGATCATTATATTAATCTGTTAACACTGTTAGCTATTAGAAATGTAATAAGACACGAAGTTTTCCATTTATCAAGATGTAAGTGTTTATTTGCTATTTGATCTGATAATGATGGATTGAAAATTATTCTTATAACTTTGAGATAAAATAGAAAGAGCAAAGAAGTGAATGTTTTAGAAAATATATGTTACCTGTTATTTGAATTAAAAAAGAAAAAGAGCTAAACTGGAAAACAAAGCAATTGTTTTTCTTGGAAGAAAAAGGTGTGTTTATGTGTATACTAACAGACCCAGCCAGGGTTGTGGCTCAAAATGTATCTATTATAAATGTATAACACTTCCCCCATGGAGGTGGAATTTTTCGAAAAATTCCTTTGTGTACATTTTCTCAACGTACCCTATTAAAACGCAATCAAAAACGCAAAAAACCACATCTGAAATAGTGTAATATAAGCCAAGTTCTTCACGGTAAGCCTTAATCCTGTCCCTCTCCTTCTAGGGGGAAATATCGAAAAATCCTTTTGTAGTGTATATTCTGTTGACATACCCTATTAAAACGCAATCAAAAATGCAAAAAACCGCATCTAAAATAGTATAAATAGAAGCAGAGTACTTTACGGTAAGCCTTAATCCTGTCCATCTCCCCAGGGGGGAATCTCGACATGTATATTATATAAAAACACGTGCGTATTCGAATGCAGCGTTGTGTCAAAATTTCAAAAAAAATTTCAATAAAAATGTAATGTAAACGAACATTACATTTTTATTTATATAGATAGATAGAAGATTATCTGCTTTAGTTCATTTTCACAGAAAAACATAATGCCTCACAGAAAAGCAAACTTAGGGTGTCGTACTCGTAGCACCATCTGTTGGACATAAAAGCCTTAACCTAGATTATATATTTTAATTTATATGAATGTTTAACGGAATAATATACAACCTATGTCCACCCTGAGGTTCCATTCTAAATATTGGTGAAAGAATTTTTGAAATCGGATGAGTATTTTCAGAGATTACATGCTTCAAACAAACTTACAAACATTACCTCTTTATAATATTAGTATAGATAACTATACACATACAAGTAAGCAGGACTGCAGGTTCAGCAGGAGTTGTGGGTTCAAGTTCTTCTCTGGGCAAATTCTTTTCTTCCAGACAATTCTAAATTAAATTAATTTATCTAATTATTAAAATTAGCATAAGATGGTGGGATAACTGTTTACCCTGTAGTCAAATTGCAATGCCCATTACTTCTAATCATTAAATTAATCTATTTGTAGCTATTTTAAAATTAATGTGACAGTTTGTTTGGCTTATGTATTTCAGATTAATGTATATATAGTATATATATATATATATAAAGTGATAGATAGGTGAGTGCAGTGGTGGATGGCTTTTGGTGCTTGACAATGGCATGTTATCCTATGGGCAAAAAGAGCAATTGTATAGGGCCTCCTGTTCATGGGGTAAGCCAATTTTTTATAAGAAAATATTTCCCCGAAGAAAAATATCTGAAGTCAAAACTACATGGGGTCCCTTAATCCGAATTCACCTGGATCCCATGAAGCTGTAACATTACAGGTTCATGGGATCCAGGTGAATACTAATAGCTAAAAATACAATAAAATTTGTGATTTTATTGTATACTTTACGTTGACAATGAAAATTTAAAGTTGTAATTCAACTTACATAATTATGAAATTGATGCTAGCACATTTATATAATCTAACTTGCATGTTTTTTCCTAAAATATAGTTATATTGCAACAAGCTGATGAGAGACTTAAGGTCTGAAATGCATTCTTTTTGGAAAAATAAAGTGACTTTCTAAGGTTGGTGTTGTGTAATCAGTCTAGCAATAAAGAAGGCCAACATAGGGCTTACATCACAAATATATGCAAAAACTAGACAATAAGCGTATCATGGTATAGTAACCTAGAAGGAATTGATTTATAAAGCTTTGCAATAACATTTTCATTGAAATTATCAGAGCAATGTTAAATGTACACATTAACTCTTCTTGAAAATTAAACTGTCCGTGTTCGTAAATTTTCTGTTCCATTAAATGCCAAACATTTTCTACAATGTCCAAGTCAGGACTAGGAGCTGGTCAATTAATTATGGGAACTTTATTTTTGAAAGTAATGCCTAACTATGCCATCTGTATGGATTGCAGCATTATCTTGCTGCCAAAACCATTTCCCTGTGGAAAAAATTTTCATAAAAAGGTAGGAATGTTGTTTTCAGATCATTCAGAATCTTTATGGCATTCTATTTTTCTTCAATGAATTTGATTATCAATTTTTCCCAATTATTTATGGTACTCAGAATCATTATGGAGCTACTTCTTTACTGGCATTTTTTACAATGAGAACCTACTATAATTCCTGCATTTTTCTTAAAATAAGAATTGATATTATCTAGATCCTCCAAATGAAAAAGTTTTCATCACTAAATATAATTAAATTAAAATTGGAATGTTCTTTGATATGTTTTTTGACAATTTAAGACATTGGTATTTATGGTTATCTGTCAATGGCAGGTCCTCCTTCACTTTTTTATAAGAAAAGTTTTTGTCAGCCATAGATTGGCAAATAGAACACTGGGAAGCATTCTAATTTAACTTTTCTTTGATACTTTGACTGTTAACATGGTCCTTCGCTACTTCATTGCAGACATGAGGTATTTGCAGAAAATCTTTTGCTGTATTTCTCCTGAAAAAGTCATTTCAAAACAAAAAATATTTAATTCAAAGCAAATATATCTTATACAGTAATAACAAAAAGCAAAGAAATTAACGTTAAATAAAACAGAATAAACAAAAAGTTTCAGGTGGAATAAATTTAAATTTGAACATACCTCACTTTGGAATTTTGCCAACTAACTTATAATAATAAATAAATTAACATGTATCTCAAAAAAATAAATTTCAAAAAATAAATTGTTTTTGAAATACAAGTGTTCTAAAAACTTTTGGCCAGCAATGCATATATGAAGTGTACAATGCCATAATATTGTAAATGCCATTTTTTTCATATTTATATGGAATTCAAAATTTATTTTGTTATTAATTATCATCATTATTTATATGAATAATTACATCATATAATGTTGTTGTCAAAACATTGTTGATGAGTACTGATCTGATAAAATCATAAATAATATAATGAGTGAGACTAAATATTCAATACATTATCATGCTCCTAGGAGATTTGATTATGGCTTGTTAAAAAAAGTATATCAAACATAAAAAACTAATTCAAATTACTTTATTTATGGAGTTAAAAGCTATTAAAATTTCAACTAATTTCAGACTGTATCCATCATCAGGACTCATAATAATGGATATACAATAATTGTTCAGATGTGGAATTCTAAGTGTTTTATTCAGTCAATATTGAAGACACTGTTGAATAGAATAATGAAAATTGAAATGATTTTATTTTAGAATTATAACTTTGGCATTGGATATTGGATCATCTTAAATACAAAAGTTGATTTTATTTTTTTGTCATTAATATTATTTCATAAATTTGCTATCTTTAAAAGATTTCTTAGATCTTTAAATTCATCTGGATATATTTTAAGATATGAATTTTCAGATACATTCAGTAAATATTATCTTGAACAACAGTATACAGTTTCAATAGGCATCTTCATATTAAACTTGGAATTGTGTTTGAAATGTTATACAGTATTATGCCGTATGCAAAATATATCATCTTCTTCTTCATCTTCGCCTTTTCTCATGTTTATATGGGGTTGGCATTTCCTTCTCTAATACATTTTTTTCACTTCTCCTTATCAAGTGCTTCTTCTCTCTTAAATCCCCTCTGGTTCA